TAAAAGGCTGTGAGTGTTGAAGGGGTCTGTAGGAATATTACTTTGGGAGGGGTAGTTTATAGGGATTAGGGCTGAATTCCCAAACCCATTCCAATTGAGGAACTTAAAAATTCTATTGAGATTAAATTCTTGGTTTAAGTCCTGTAAGTACAGCATAGGGCAGTTCATGCTGAAGAATATTTTGATACCCTATTTTGATACCCTCTTTATAGAGTTAAAACTGGAATAGCTGTCCAGTTTAATTTTGAAGTAGGTAACCCTTTGATCCTTTGAACAGAGATTATATTGACATCTCATTATATTGACATTTATATTGACATCTCATTCTTTGTGGGACCTTGGGAAAGTTTTCCCCACTATCTCAAGTTTTTATAAAACCATTCCTAAGCCAAAATGGTGTAAATCGAAGCAATTGTTATTTATGTGGAAAAATATTTTAGTGTCCCCAGATCATTCCAAGAAACACCCCCCAGAAAATCCTGAACAAAATATACAGTAAAAGCAGAAATATAAAAACAGCCTATAGAAAGTAATTCCCCAGGACGGAGCTTGACTTTAGAATAGCAACTGTGAAAATACTCTTGGGATTTCTTTCTGTTAGCTCAAACAGGTATTAATGTCTTTTGGAAAAGAGAAGAGGGCACAGTGCCAACTTTTGAAAAGCTGGAGATACCTAAATGAATGTGGCAAGGAAAGTCTAAAATGATCTGCCTGTGCTTATTAAAAGATTCCTGCTTTGTGGTTAGAACAGAGCAATGTCTCTTTATAACCAAAAGATGAGTTCTTTGCATTTGATAGCACTGAATTCTATTCTTCATCATCTATCATGTTTCTAGCAGCAGCTCAACAGAATATTTATTACAAGATGAATTTCCTTCTGAGTCAGAAGTAGAGCATATTTCCCAGACAAGTCAATGAAAATATTCCAATACTTCATTTCATCACACAATGCTAACTACTGGCATCCACCAGTAGTACAATAGTTAAGCACTATACTGCTCCTCATAATCAAGTAAAAGCTGTGAAGTTGGTGACATCTGCATTTGTACTCCTGCTGCTTAGAATGAGTTTTAAGGGTCTGTGTCAAAAACAACTATAAACTCTTCAGGCAGAAAAGTCATACATGTTAGTATAAAAAAGATATTTTGAGACTATTATACTTTTCTCTCTAGACCATACTGTGCCTGAAAAAGTCACACAATTTATAATTGCGGTATGTGTTAGGGTAAGGACCCAATTTCTTTCTTTTTTTTTTTTTTAAAAGATTTATTCATTTATAGAAGCACTGGATACAGAGAAGCGCGGGAGGGTAAGAGAATTCACCAGAGCCAGAGGTGGGAACAGAACAGGCAGACTGATGAAATACACTGCTGAGGGGAGCAGTGGGGAGCAGTGGGCACCGCAGGAGAGGTCCACGCACCATGTGGGACCCTTGCCGGTAGCCGGGGACCCGCACTGCAGAGGCTGCAGGCAGCTTCGCAGCCCAGCGCTCAACCGATGTGCCACCAGGGGAGGCCCAGGACCCAATTTCTAAACTGCTGGAAGTTGAGTCCTTCCTCTATACTCTCAAACTGCAACTTACTCTTGTGTGATTTAGAGTATGAAACAATCAACAAATTCCATATTCCTTTTAGGAGGGATATCTCTTCAAAGTCAGTCAATGACCAGTCAGAAAATAAATAGGTGTTAGACATGAAGTAGTTTTTTGGAAAGTTAGGTCATGCAGAGAAACTTCTCAATTTATGCTTGTGAAACAAAATGTCCTGCATCCACCTTCCTTCCTTCCGTGTTTTAAAAAGAAAAAGCAGAACACTTAAAAAGTTCTAAAATACTTTCCTCAAAATAGAGCTAATTAGGTTATTTCCCTATCTAATACAACCTAACTTCTCTACATACACCCTGTCACCAGTGGCTATTTGAAGCAGTCAGACAGGCATTAAAAGACTTAAAGTATTCTTTTCCCCTCAAACAAGGACCTAACAAAGAAAGCAAAATACGTTAAAAGCAATTTTAAACCAAGCTTCACCCTGCAGCAGTTTCTTAGCGTCAGGTTTCCACTGTCCAACGTGGGCATGGACTTTAACATGAAAAAACACCTGACCACAGCTGCCCAAAACCTGAAGAAAATTACTTCTACTATCTTTCATTAGGATCCCTCAATGTTGGAAAGAAGCTAAGTCAACTTATGCTTTATATAGTGTATAATTTCCTTAGAATTTATCAATTGTAAATCTACAGACTTGAAACTAGCACACTAAAGATTACTCTCTGCAACAAACTTGACACCAACAATATCACACCATTTTAGAAAGTTTAAACCAGTGATTCTCAACCAAAGGACACTGGACACTGTTATCACTGGGGAGGAAACTGTCACACAGCAGAGGTCAGGAATACTGCCAAAACATCCTAAAATACACAGGACAACCCTCCAGAACAAAAACCTCCATAAAAAATTACCAAGCCAAAATGTCAATAGTGCTCAGGTTGAGAAACTGGTTAAAACTAAAATTCTACATTAGTCTTTAGTCACTTACTAGGACTCACACCTAATTGAGTTCAAGATCTAAAAAATTCTTTAATAGCCTCCCATAACTGTATCTTCCCACAGTGAAAAACATGGAGCAATCCTACTGAATTAATATTCACAAATGGGGATCTTAAGACACTGTGTGCAGACTACTGATGCAGAACTAAATCTTGGGCAGCTTCAAAAAAAGAAACATGAAATCCGGCATCCCTGGAGGTGCTGGGGTTAAAGTCTCAACGCTATGTAGCTATTCCCAGCATCAGTTCCATCCCCAGCCAGGGAGCAACCCATATGGTGCAGCAGATCTCTATCTCTCTGGCTGCCCCCCTCAGCAATTTATTTCAGTAGATCTACCTGTTCTGCTCCCCACGCTGTCTCTGGTGAATCCTTTCACCCCCAGCACCTCTGGTCTTGTGTGCCATAAATAAAATCTTTACATGAAATCAAGCCATTAGGTAAAACGGAAAACTTCAACCCACAGAAATTACTCTGGACTTACTTCAGTAATGGCGAAGTTTACGACTGTTCCTGTACTAATTCAAATTGCATGACAGTCCTCCCAACTGGGTGAGAGTACAAGTGTCCCTACAGACAACTCAAAAAATTATCTGACTGCATCTAAACACCAGGCATACTCCCCCAAAGCCCATGTAACCAAGTAATGAAAAGTTAAATCCAAGTTGCAGTACCATTAGGTTGAGAAGTGTTACACTTAATTCAACTACACTCTATAGCAATTTAAGAATCCCCCCAAAAAAAATATGTCCTAGAGGCAACTAGCCTCTAGCAAATATGACTAATCTAATGGGAAGGGAAACTCAAAGAAACACACACTGAAATTTGTGAGTGGGGATCTAAACATGATGTCCAGCCACTTAAATGACCTTCTGGCAAATGGCAGACCAGAAAACCTTAAAAGATGCAAAATGACTGGAGGCCAGAGTGACTTAATTCTGAGAACAAGGTTCTCCATAATCTCCATTATTTCCTCATACTATAGTTCCGGACAACTGAGAACTTTCATCCAGTCAGGATGGGGGGGGCACAACACTCCTAGTTTACATAAATGGGGTGCCTGATACAATCTTTCCCATTGGTAGAGGAGTGGTTAAATTAAGCAACTGTTCCCCTACACTGCTTTTCGGTAAAGTAAGCAAAGCCAACACTTTTACACTAAAGAATGTGACTAAATGAAAGTCAGATTATCAGATACAGACTCCATCCAGCTTTGCTGCACTGGCAATAAAGAGTACTGTATGAACATTCAAAGTTCTAAAGAATCAATTATGTGCTCCATTTTTATTAGTGTCTACCCTCATGTGCAAACCCGGGAATCCCTGTCCTTGTGGAAATGCCAAAGCAAATAACACAAATGTCTAAATTTGAAACATTCTGGGTAAAAATGTAAAGTATTTCATTTGACTAACAAACGTGAGAGCACGCCCAAGATCTGGTCTCCTGTTATTCCACACTTGTTCCAAGCTTTCATAAATTCTGTTTTGCTGGAGTATCAGTGGCGAGTAATTTATTTAAAAAAAAAAACAGTCACAATAAATTGTAGATCAACTGAAACAGTTAAATCCGACCCTACATTTACAAAGTCATATTTCAATAGAGCAGTAACCTTGTTGAAACCATTCAGTCCAACTCAACCAAAGGGGTCGATTCCTAAATAGAAATTTACTAGGTACAATTTTAAGATGCCTTCTAGGTTTCTCAAATTTAAGTGCGCCCTTTCATTTTCGGTCAAACTTTCCTGTTGAAGATTCTGCACAGAACGTTGTGGTTCAGACCACAACTGTTTAAACAGGCCAGTAAAGAGCAGAAGCAATGGCAGTTCTCGAAATCTTTAACGGGCTACGGCAATCCGAATTGACTGCATTAAGCCTTTCCGACCTCAATTAACTCGAGGCATCGAGTTAATTTACAAAATCACGCCAATATTTAAGAGCAAACACCAAATTCGAGTATTTGAGCACCAACTAAAAGTTAAAAGAACTCTTGCAGCCTCCTAGAATTTATAGTTGTAAAGAACACGCTTCAAATTTTACTTGATGTAACGCCCCAGAATTTGGACCAAAAAGGCTTCCCCGAGGGAGGGTGGAAGGGACCAACCTAACCGTTCGTTACATCCCAAGTAGCTCTCTCGTTCACTGCTACTGCCCAGGGGTCACTAGGTGAAGGCTGGTCCTCAGGAGTTTTCAGGTAATGCGCACACCCTCGGGCGCAGAGACGAGCCCGACCCCGCGCGCGACAGGGAGCTGATCTGGCTCCTCTCGCTCGCGGCCGCGGGAACGCAGGGAGCGCCCCAGGGACACGGGACAGAGGGCGCACGGGGTGTGGACGGCGTTTGGCGGGAGCTTCACCGGGAAAAACCAGAGCTCGCCCCAGAGAACGCGGGAAGGCATGTGCGGGTCCGGGACATCGGCGGGGCCTCCAGTCCGGAGCCTGAGGGAGGGAAGGGCCTCACCTTGCTGCGGTCCTCCTCCTGCTGCTGCTGCAGCAACTCGGGAACCGCGGCCATGGCGACGCGGGCCTCGAGCTGGGGCTGCCTGGCTGTGCGAGGAAAGAAGAGGCTGGGCCGCCGCCGTCGGGGCGCCTCTTAGGGGCGGCCGCGGCCCCGCCTCCAGTGGCCTCCCTGCCCGATGGCGGCAGGAGGCCGCGGGACTCCGCCACCATCCCAGCAGCCCCGGGAAAGGCGAGCGGCGCGCCACGTGCTCCCCTAGAGTGGCCTCCCCCGTCCCCGCTGCCGTCCATGTTGGAGCCGGGCAAAGAAGCTACACGGGGCCTACCCTTGCTCGGCGCCACGCGGGAAACGCCGACCGCAGGACCGCGACGCTGAGAGGACTAACAGACACTCTCCCAGCGCAGCGCGCCTCAAGAAAGAGCGCGGGCTCGTGCGGGGGGATTTATTATTCAGCCCGAGTCCAAGATGGCGGAGATGGGTGACGTAAGCAAGATATCGTGAGAGCAAAAGGGGGCATTCCAGGGAGCGGGGCTTCCGCCTGAGGGAAAGAATTCTACTGATTGCGTGTCAGCGGGGTGAACCACAGGCTAGGGGCGGTGCCAAAGCCCTGCAGGGCATGCTGGGATTGCTTGCCTGGGGCGGGGTCTAACTCAAGACCAAAGCGCGGGACCCACGAAAGTACGGGTCGCGAGAGGTTTTGGCGCCCTGGAAGTTAAGCGAATCGTGCTGGTTCCGAGGTACCTAACCCTGCCGTGAGCTGGGCTTCTCTTTAAGCCGTTTGTTCCATAATCCTAAATCCCACCCGAGGGGCCACAGTCTTGCTGCCTCCACTTAAAGTGGGGAACTGGGGGCCGCCTTCTGGGGACCACCATGGTGGGCTCTGCAGACTGTCGCGTATCTGCTCGAACTAAATTTAGCACGGTTTCCCTCTCTGTAAAACGGGGTCACGGTATTACCCACTTTAGAGATTGTGGGTGTTAAATGAGAACTGCCCACACAGAATACTTAGCAAAGAACCTGGTGTTCAGGCGTCCGTGAGCAATTGTTAACTATGGCTGCCCACACCGCTATGGCGCCAGCGTTCAGTGTTTAGACTCACACAGGCCTAGTTGACTTCACAGGCGTCGCATTTCTTAAGCCTGCCCACTGTTTTGCATTTTAATAAGTGTTGGTCCTCCTGGTATGAATGAGTCTTTGTAAATAGCTTTGTTCAAACATGTCGATAAAGCCTTTTGAATACAATTTTAATGATCTATGTAATACTCATGCAGCTTTCACAAAGATGGTTCAAATTTTTAACACGTTTGGTATCTAACACCACTTTTCTCTTCAACAGGAATGCAAAAGTTAAAATAGGGTTTCGACATTGCAAGTAGAGAAGAGGGAAGTGAAAGAAAACTCTATAAAGATGAAGACCTTTCAGACCATCTGCAGGCAACTCACAAGGTCAAAGGGTTTTTTTGTAGACCCGGACTCGCGGGTGGGTTTCACCACTTCCTCTTGCTTATGTGACCGGAAAAAAAAAGTGAACCCTTATGAAGACGTGAATCAAGAAAAATATTCTAATTTAGTAAGGTCTGTCGTGTCGTTCAGAAGCCCTGCTCAAACTCCAGAATCATTGTTTGATGAAGATGCTTTACTCTATGGACCAGTGAGTAAGGGTAGGCCCCCAAAACAAGATGAGGAAGCAAGTGCTCCACGGAACTGGTTTTCTCTCTTCAATCCAGAGAGATGCATAAAACCAAATGCAACATGTGATCCTAAAATTCCTTTGAAAATTCCTTTGCAAAGAAATATGATACCAAGTGTGACCCGGATCCTTCAGCAGACTATGACATCAGAACAGATTTTCTATTTGGAGAGGTGGAAACAGCGAATGATTCTGGAACTGGGAGAGGATGGCTTTGCAGAATATACTAAAAGTAACTTTCTTAATCCTGGTTCTATATGATAACTGTTTTCTAGAATATAGAGTAGTGTCAAATGAATTTCTTTTTTAATCTTGACTAGTAAGGAACTCCTTTTAAATGATAATTAGCATTAAATAGCACATGTGTGTTAACTCAAGCTTTATTACAAATATGAAGCATGTAATCTCCATTTCACATATGAAAGTGGTGCAGAGATATAATTCTTTTGACTAAATTATGCATTAATTTTATGGATTTTTTTGAAAGATTTATTTATACATACAAGAACCGGGGTACAGGCCAGATCTATGGGAGGATGAGAGGATTCACCAGAGACAGAGCAGAGAACAGAACAGGCAGACTGACCAAATTACACTGCTGTGGGGAGCAGCAGGGTGAGACAGGAGAGGTCTGTGGTGCCATGTGGATGTCTCCCCAGCTGACCAGGATCCAACCCACACTGCAGAGGCTGCAGACACCTTCACAGCACTGTGCTCAACTGCCTGTGCCACCAGGGAGGCCCTAAGTTTATGTTTTTATAAGCTACCAACTCAAGTATTAGAATTGTCTTCTTTGATTATGGGAAAGTCAGCCACCTCATTAAAAAAATTCTCGTTTGCTGGGCATTCTATTCAGAATCTAGTCAATAAATCCCTTGCTCTACTTAATATCATATACTGGTAAACTTAAAGATTCTGGCAATAAAGCCAAAACACATAATCTGTGTTTTGTTTAAGTTGAGTTTTACATTGATCATTCCTCACTTCCCAGAGAACAACTACTTGTATCCAGTGGAACACAAGCACTCTTGTTTTTAATTTAAAGTGTAATATACTTACTAGAGACATCTCAGGAAATACAGTGTGTAGCATATTGAACATGTGGACATGTATTCTGAAGAAAAATATTAAGTATTTATATAGGTGGCACTTTGTGTGGCAAACATGATCAAGGTTCTAGCCCCTTAAAACTTTCAGAGGCAAGGAATATTTACAGGGGCTCACTGCCTTGTTAAGCCAGTTTTAGTAACAGCCACCAAACTTAGTCTTTGCTTTCCAAACAAGCAACATTTTTTTTTGTCTTTAATGGCATTTTAAGTTTTTTATTTATACCACTAGGATTTAGAATTAATGTTTCCTCATGAGCATTTGTTTTTATTTCCCTAAACAATGACTGTTAAAGAAGGTGTGAATCCTGAAATCACTGATAAGAAACTTAAAGGCAGAAAACTGTTGGGACATGTGGGAACATAGGTTTGTAGGTTTTGGGCACTAAGAAAAGAAGTGCTTAGGAGGCCCCCTTAATAAAAGAGAAATTTCTCTTTGGAATGTGATCGAGCCTCACTGTCCCAGGCAGAGAAAATTATGATGGCTTTCCAGAGTCAAGTTTGTTGATCTGTAGTACTACTACGATGTGTTTCTCAATCTCAGGCTCAATCTTAAAAAATAGGAAGAACCTTTTTTAAATGAGATTACTGTCATATTATTCCCCCCTCCACCCTTCAGCCAAAAAAAAAGGGAAGAAAGAAAAAGCATGTCATAGCTCACTAAATTGAATAATGGGTCAGGAGTTTTTAATTCCTTTCTGCCTAGTCTGGGCAAAGGCCAGAGCTTACATTCTCAGACACTTGGTCAGTTTCCCAAGCATCTGTTTACCTTTTGAGCATTGCTGAGGATAAAACTGTCTGACTTACTCTGATTTATAATGATCACAGTGGAAAGGGCAGAGGTTTATTTTTTCAGTTTTTTGATTTCTCCAGTTCTGTCAACCCCAATATTAGAGACTCAGGAATTTTTTTTAATGTGCTTTATATACGGGGAGTTGAAAACATTTCACCTTCATTCCTTTAATGCTATCTGTAATAAGTCTTGAATCTTCTAAAATTTATTTTGACAAATTGAATCTATTTTATGTTCTCAGCCTTGCTATCTAGGGACTCCCGTAATCTAGATTCCCATGTCCTTGGCCTGTTATATGTAAGAAACCTTGGGGGAGGGGGGGAGTGCAGTGGGGTATGAGTTGTCTGTTTGCTTGACAGTTGTCTATTTGCTTGACAAAGCTTTTTTTTTCCTGTTTTTAATATGTTTGTGATCTGCTTCATTACAGCAGTCGATACTTCTTTTCCCTAAGTTTTAATTCCATCAGTCTGAAATTTCTTGTAGTCTTCTCATGAGTTCAAGTAAATTTGGAGTAGTATTGTAGCCGGAAAATGCTGGAGTCTGCTGCCTGTCACTGCTGGACACCAATTGAACAGAGACAGGAATTGAATCTGTAAAGTGCACACTTTTTAATGTCAGAAAGCTACAATCTGAGAGAACCGGGGTTATTTTACCCCCAAAACCTGTTGTGGCATCTCAAGCTGGCCTTTTTCTAGTGAGCTAAACAAAGACAGCCATAAGTGACCCTCCCACACAACAGCCTATCGTGGTTGGTGTCCTGATCATCATCATGCCCCAGTTTGTTGTTGCCTTATTGGTCACCTTGACTCAGGTATATCCTATTTTCCTGGGCCTGCGAAAAACATCCTGTTTTTCTGATGGTGTCAATGTCTGATACTTCAGGCATCGTTGGAGTAGGACTCTCAGTTCAAAACAAGAGTTTTAGTGCAAAGAAAACATTAATCACATGGCATTTTCATGTAGCCAATGCTAGGCTATGAGTGTATGTGCAGATTCCTATACTAGGTATGATGCCCTTTCTTCCCTTCCTCCCTAGCCCCTATCAGTATAACTTAGTTCCTCAGTTGAATTTCATTTCATTCTCCAAGTGATTTCCAGGAAGAGAGACTTTTCAAAATCTTTGTAAAAAATACTTAGCAAATGTAATGGGGCTTGATAATACCTCATTAGATGAGATTGTTTTCTTCATTTTCTTTATCTGTCTCCAAGCATGTCTATTTCCTGCTGTATTCCTGTATGTCTAAATAATGGTCTCATTTGCCCCCATTGCTCTGCTTTGTGGTAGACAGGAATGAACATAGACTTTGGGGGCAGTCTCCTTGTTTTGCTTTGGGCAAATTAACAGCCTGTCTAGGCCTCATTCATTGAAATTGGGGTAATGATCCTTATCTTGCGGAGTTATTGTGTTTGAAAGTTAATATTTGAAAGTGCAGGCCACTGCTTAACATGACACTGCACCTTTTTTCCTCTTTCTTACCAAGAGTTAAGTGAATGTTTTTGAGTATTTCTTGGATTTGTTGAATGTTTTTTTCTTTTCTTAAAAAGTATATGAGGACAGAACAACTGTCTTATACTTTTCCTGCTCTAAAAAAAAAAGTGCAGAACTTTTTTCCTCTCATCGTTCTTTATGTTCCACAACATCCAATTCCTTGTTTTCCATTTGTTGGCACCTTGATTCTCATTTTTTTCCAGTCACTAAACCTGTTAGTAGAAAGATTCTCTCACCTATGTTCATAATTAAATTTTGCTTGTAAAAAGAACTGCAATTCCCTTTTAAACTTCCAATAATTATTTGTTAAAACCAAAGTTAATCAACTTGTTATTAACTTAAATCCTCAGCACCTTAAGTTAGATGTGGTCCTTTAGTAGTACCAGATGGTCAATTCTAGCTCTGGTCTAAGTCTAGAAATACATCATTTGTATCTATTGTATTGTCTAAATTTTTCTGATTCTTTTGGTTTTCAAAGTGCACTCTTAGGTTTCATAAGAGGCTGAAATATCATAGATACTTGGCACTTAAAGATAACTTGTGTAATTTTTACATTTATTCATAGTTTTTTAGAGTTTTTTGTATTAGCTTTAGATTTTCTTTTTTGTGTTTTTTTCTTTTTTTTTCATTTTCTCCTTATTTTCCCTTCAGACATATTTTTGCAAGGGAAACTGTTCCATGAAGCCTTGGAAAACATACTTTCACCCCAGGGAGACCTAAAAACGAGAGATGAAAATCTCCTTGAACTTGGCTACGTTAAAAGTATTCAGCATGTTCTAAATGATGTCAGTGGAGTGCAAGCTCTTGAAAGTGCTGTTCAGCACGACACCTTAAAGTATGTAGGTCTACTGGATTGTGTGGCTGAATATCAGTAAGTATTGGTTTGTTTTCACCAAAGTGTGGAGTTAAAATTAATGAAGGGTAATACAGATGGTCTTGTCAAACCCTACTTTTTCTCCTTAACACCTGCTTCAAGGTACTGCCTCTGTGAAATCAAAACTCATGTGATAGCTGAAAGGCTTGGTTTGGTACAGAAGACAAGGATGAACACATAAACCTTGTAAATCATTGTTCTTAAATGAAAGTATTTCAGTGTCACTAGGATGACCATTTTCCAGTATATTCCTCCTCCCTTCCCCCCAACCATAAGATCCAATCTGATTACTACCTTTTCTTTCCTGTTTCCTGACAAATATCAACACAATCTATTGACCCGGAAAATAAACTTTTCCTGGCTTCTTGACTATCCTGACATGGATAGGAACTGAGTTTACTGGCGTTTCCTGTGGTTTTTACTTTTTATGTTTTTTTAAAGAATTATTAGTTTATTGTAAGATTTTTATATTTACTTTGTGTAGAAGAGCTGGGGTGTAGGCCAGAGGAGCAGGGGGTGAGAGGATTCACCAGAGACAGAATGGGGAGCAGAAGAGGCAGATCTACCGAAATACCCTGCTAAGGGGAGGAGCGGGCAAAACAGGAGAGGTCTGCTGCGACATGTGGGTTAGCTCCCTGGCCAGGGATTGAACTCTGGCCATCACAGTGGGCCTTCATGGTGGTAGTGTGGAGATTTAACCCCTAGGCCACCAGGGAGGCCTTCCTGTAGTTTTTAAATTGCTGCGTTAACTATTTTTTCCCATTTACTCTAAATTCCAAAGGTAGATATAATCTGCAGATAATCCTTTTTTAAAAATCATGTAAGTAATACAATAGGATAAGGGGGAAATCTGGCACTTAGAACCTGTTAAAATTTAAATTAAAACATAAATTCACAAAATATTCATTAGTCTGGAAACTCTTTAGACTTCCTAACTGTTTTGTGATGTAAGTGCTGCCTCATATCTGACAAGAGCCCTGTTTGCACAGAAATATAATAAGCTAATTTTGGCTGCCTTTTTGATTAACTAAGGGAGCCATACAATCAGTTCTGTCTAAGGCCTACAAGAAGTTCCTGCACTTTTCAAAGGGCTTAAAAAATAGGCCAATAGTACTGCTGTTTTTTGCTCTTTGAATCAAGAGCATCAGCTTTAAAAATATGAACAATGGACACTTGAAACTAAGGTTCTAGAAATTTAAAATGAATCTTTAATCAGTAATATTGTACTTGGTTAATTCAAGCTATCATCAGTAAGGCTCTACTCTTACTCCTTTTTTTTGCTACTTATTTCCCCCACTTTTTTTTTTTTTAAAGTTCTAATATGGTTAACCCATGTGACAGAATTTACCATAAAATTCATCAAGTGTACTGTTCCATGGTAGTAAATACATTCATATTGTACACCTATCATCATCCATCTCCAGGATACTTTTCATCTTGTAAAACTGAAACCTTATAGCCATGAAATGGAACTCCCCCCACCCAACCAATTTATGTTACTACTAACAATGCATTGCTGTTCCTCTTCCTCTGAATCCTCCCCAGCATTTGTTGTTGGGTGTCTTTTTAATATGTGCCATTCTCACAGTTCTGAGATAATGTCTTAACTGTGGTTTAGGTCTGCATCTCCTTTATAAAAATATGCCAAGTGGTTGTATTTACAAAACAGCCCAAAGGTAAACCAACAGTCAGTGCATACTTCATTCACATCCTTAGTGACAGAAGGTATTCTAATACCACAGAACAGAATAAGAATACTGGCTAGCTTCAACAACAACTGTTATTTATATACTAGAGTCACATAAGTTACACCAGAATGGACAAACATTGCCCAAATAAAATTCTATTAAAACTGAAACAGGGGCCTCCCTGGTGGTGCAATGGGTTAAGCACCATACTATGAAGCTATCTGAAGCCTCTGCAACACGAGTTTGATCCCTGGTCAGCCAAGGAGCTACCCACATGGTGTGGCAGACCTCTCCTGTCTTGCCCACTGCTCCCCTCAGCAGTGTATTTCAGTCAGTCTGCCTGTTCTGTTCCCCACTCTGTTTCTGGTGAATCCTCTCAGCTCTCACATCTCTGGCCTGTGCACCAACTCTTGTATGCATAAATAAATAAATCTTTAGGGAAAAAAAGCTGAGACAGATACAAATCTTTTCGAGCCCCATCTATGTGTGTTTGAAATATGTGAACTTTTTTTCCAATTTAACTAGTCTTAAACTTCAGTTTTAAAAAAATTCTGAAGGAAAATATAGAAGAAATCAATACAATAGCAGTTAAATTAGATAAGGGAAGCAAACAAAGTTATAAGTAAAATGAATCAAAGAAAACCAAAACATGAGAACTAAAAAACTCGTTTGTTACCTGTTGGAAATAGACCTACACTAGGAATTAGGTAAAATATACCATTATTTTGTTTTTGAAAGACATTTTTACTGAAGTCATGTAAGTTTCACCTGTGCATCATAATAAATCAACATCTGTATAGCCTACATTAGATTCACCACTGAAAGTCCAATTCTACCCTTTATTACACAGTTAACCTGATACCTGATATATCCACTCCTCTACCCCTTTCCTTTATGGTAACCACTGATTTGGCTTTAGAGTCTAAAAGTTTATTTACATTAATTTTCAAGTAAATTATTTTCTGTCATTCTAACATTCTTTTCATCAGTATACTGTTGAACTGATCAAAAGCTCTGCTCAATGTATTTTCTTAAAATGGCAGCATACACTGCTGCTTCCTGCAAAACTGTCACTCAAATGACTGTGAATGAAAGGAAATAAAAAGCAGAGCATTAACATACTAAGGAGAAATAAAAGGAGTTAGAAAATTCATTCTTTAGCTCTTTTAATCTGCTAGTCAGCTTACTAACACAGATAGTTTCCTTCTAGGAAGACCCTATGGAGTACGAATGTGGTCAAGAAGGGGCTGTGTCGGCTCCAGGGCTGCGTTCAGAAGTTGCTTATTCATTTTTCCTTCAGCTGTTTTGTAATCCCCAGAATCAATATATTTTTGTCCTTCCTGCAGTCATTTCCTTGCAAAATCTGAATCTTCAGGGTTTTGTCCCATATGTGAATATTTTGCTTTTAATTCTGCTTCTTCAGTTTTCTCTGATCTAGTCGTTTTAATGTCCACAGTAGAGTTACTTCAGGCAGCCAGTTTGGGAGTGTTTTGCCTTCAGAGTGGAGATGGAGTTGCATAATCAGCTCTCTGCACTAGGCGCTGTGGGGCTCCAAATGATCTTTGTGTGTGGACTTTGTGTCCTACTGCTTTATTGAATTAGTTCTACTGATTGTTTTTTATGTTTGTGTTTTTTTTGTAGATCCTTTAGGGTTCTCAACATATAAGAGCTTATCACCTACAAACAGAGATCATTTTACTTCTTTCCACTTTGAATACTTTTTTCTTTCTTTCTTTTGCTTACTTGCTCTTTGCTAAAATATCCTGTACTCTGCTCAGTAGAAATAGTGAAAGCAGACAGTTTTGTCTTGTTTCTGACCTTAGAGAAAAATCTTCCAGTCTTTCACCATTGAGTATGATATTTGTTGTGGGTTTTTCATATGAATTTTATAATGTTATGTTGAGGTACTTTATTTCTGTTCCGAGTTCATGGAGTTTTATCATACTTTTTTCTGTACCAATTGAGATGATTATGTGTCTTCATTCTGTTAATATAGTATGTTTCTTTGATTTGACGTTTTGTATGTATTCTGAGAAAGAATGTGGTGTAGTCTGTGGGTGCAGAGGTGAAAGAATTCATGAGAGACAGAGTGGAGAACAGATAAGGCAGATTTATTGAAATACACTGCTAGGAGAAGCAGTGGGTGAGGCGGGAGAGTTCTATGCATGAAAGACGATTTGAGGGTCGCTTTTATACTTTGTTTTCATGGACTTTTTAGTTTGAGGCACCAGTTTGCACCAGTTATCTGCTGAGGTATCTGGTCTTGGGCACTGGCCTTTGACGCAGAATCACGTTCTGGCTTCTGCATTCCTGGAGCTGGGCTGGTTTTCTGTTCCCAGGCAACCTTATCAATTCCCTTATCTGCTGGGCCAGGAGTGTGGGCTTAGTTTTTATTTTTTTATTTTTATTTTTTTAAATAATAAATTTTATTTTTATATTCCTCATACAATTGCAACCCCCCCATTCTGACCCCAATCCCTCCCCTCCCGCCCCCCACCCCCCAAAAAGTGTCTCTGGTTCATAGTTTTTTGTTGATTTTGATTTTCACTTTCTTATAGTTATTCATTTTCCTGGTCCCTTATTTAAGTTTTCTAGATTCCTGCTATGAGTGAGACCATCTGGTATTTTTCTTTTTCTTTCTGGCTTATTTCGCTGAGCATGATCCGTTCCAGCGCCATCCATGTTGCTGCAAATTGCATGTGTTTATCTTTTTTGAATGCTGAGTAATATTCCATGGTATATATGTACCACATCTTCTTGATCCAGTCATCTATTTTGGGGCATTTGGGCTGTTTCCAAAGCTTAGCTATTGTAAATAGTGCTGCTATAAACATAGGGGTGCAGGTGCTCTTTGGAATTGATGTTTCTGTGTCCTTTGGGTAAATACCTAGGAGTGGAATTGCTGGATCATATAGAAGCTCTATGTTTAGTAGGTCCAGAAATCTCCACACAGCTCTCCATACATAGTGGTTGGACCAGTTTGCACTCCCACCAACAGTGCAGGAGAGTTCCTTTTTCTCCACATCCTCGCCAGTTTTTAATAATATGTGCCTTTCTCACTGGTGTAAGATGGTATCTCATGGTAGTTTTGATTTGCATTTCCCTGATGACAAGTGATGTTGAACATTTTTTCATATGCCTGTTGGCCATTTGCATTTCCTCTTCAGAGAAGTTTCTTTTTAGCTCTTCTGCCCATTTTTTGACTGGATTCTTTTCTTTGTTTGTGCTGAGTCTCATCAGCTCTTTGCAGATTTTTGTGATCAGTCCTTTATCATTAGTGTTGTGTGCAAAAATGTTCTCCCAGTTGGTGGGGTTTCTCTTTGTTTTTGTTATTGTCTCTTTTGCTGTGCAGAAGCTCTTTAATTTGATATAGTCCCAGCTGTTTATCTTTGCCTTCATTATCACTGCTTTGGGTGATGTGTCTGTAAAGATGTCTTTGATTTGAATATCACATAGTGTTTTGCCTATATTTCCTTCATGTATTTTATGGTTTCAGGTCTTATGTCTAGTTCTTTAATCCATTTTGAGTTGATTTTTGTGTATGGTGTGAGGTAGTGGTCAAGCTTCATTCTTTTGCATGTAGCGACCCAGTTTTCCCAACACCATTTATTGAACAAACTTTCTTTGCTCCAATGCATAGTCTTTGCTCCTTTGTCAAAGTTAGTTGATCATAAATCTGTGGGTTTATTTCTGGATTTTCTATTCGATTCCATTGGTCTGTATGTCTGTTCTTATTCCAATACCATGCAGTTTTGATGATTATGGCTTTGTAGTATAGTTTGAAGTCTGGGAGTGTGATGCCTCCATTCCCTTCCCTTCTTTTTTTTTCAGGAGAGCTTTGGCTATTTGGGGTTTTTTGTGATTCCATATGAATTTCATCAATAATTGTTCTATTTCTTTGAAGAATGACATTGAAATTTTGATTGGAATAGCATTGAATCTGTATATTGCTTTTGGTAGGATGGCCATTTTAATAATGTTTATTCTTCCAATCCATGAGCAGGGGATGTCTTTCCATTTATTTGTGTCTTCTTCTATTTCTTTTAACAGTGTTTTATAGTTTTCTTTGTATAGGTCCTTTACCTCTTTCGTTAGAGTTTTTAACCTTATTAAATTGTACCTGGATAGTATGTTCAGCCATCCTTGCATTACAGGAGTAAATCCCAGTTGGTCATGTATATAATCCTTTAAATATGCTGGTGAATGTGGTTTGCTGGTATTTTGTTGAAGTTTTTGTATCAATGTTCATAAAGGATATTGGTCTATAGTTTTCTTGTGGTGTCTGGGTTTGGCTTTGTTATCAAGGTAAAGCTGGATTCATTGAATTGAGTCTTGAAGACCTAACATACTTTTCAGTTTTTGTTGAAAAACATCAAGAAGACTAGTATTAGTTCTTTAAATGTTTGGTAGGACTTACCAGCAAAACCGTTACGATCAGGGATATTTATTTACCAGGAGATTTTTCATTACTGATTCAGTCTCTAATTATAGATATATTCCCTTATTCTTTTTCCTTTCGTTTCTAACAACGTGTCCTTTGTGTCTGGGTTATCTGACTTGTTTGCATAGCTTTTCTTTATACCTTTTATCCTTTTTATTTGTGTGTGATTGGTAATAATGTCCCCAAATTTCATTTCTGATTTTTGTAATTCGAGTCATTTCCTTTTTTTCTAAGTTCATCTAGCTAAATGTCAATTTTGTTGGTCTTTTCAAAGAACCGACCTTCAATTGAATTGATTATTTTTTTCCCTATCATTTTTCTATTTATCTCTGCTCTAATTTTTGTTTCCTTCCTTCTGCAAGCTTTGGGTTTATTTCTTCATTTTCTTGTTCCTTAAATAGAATGAGTACATTGTTTTTTCTTGTTATTAACATTAAGCATTTGTAGCTGTAAATTAACACTGCTTTCATAACTGTAGGTATGGTGTGTTTTCATTTTCACTTATTTCTAAGTACTTTCAACTTCCCCTTATGACTTTTTTGGTTAGTTAAGAGTATGTTGTCAAATATCCACAATTTTCATATTTTCCAGTTTTACTGCTGATACTGATTTCACTTCATCCCATTGTGATAAGATGCTTTGTAGTATCTTAGATCTATCTTTAAAAATGTATTGATACTGGGCCTCCCCAGTGGCGCAGCGGTTGAGCGCTGGGTTGCGAAGCTGCCCGCGGCCTCTGCGGCGCCGGTTTGATCCCCGGCTGCTCCCCAGCCACCGGAGGAGGGTCCCACATGGCGCGCAGACCTCTCCTGCCGCCGACTGCTCCCCTCAGCAGTGTACTTCGGTCCTTCTGCCTGCTCTGCTCCCTGCTCTGGCTCTGGTGAATTCTCTCACCCTCCTGCGCTTCTGACTGTACCCAGTGCATGTATAAACAAAAACAAAACAAACAAACAAATAAAAATAAAACATGCCTCTATAAAAAAAAAAATAATAATAAAAAAAAAAAAATGTATTGATACTGGGCCTCCCCGGTGGCGCAGCGGTTGAGCGCTGGGTTGCGAAGCTGCCCGCGGCCTCTGCAGCTCCGGTTCGATCCCCGGCTGCTCCCCAGCCACCGGAGGAAGGTCCCATATGGCGCGCAGACCTCTCCTGCTGCCCGCTGCTCCCCTCAGCAGTGTACTTCGGTCCTTCTGCCTGTTCTGCTCCCCGCTCTGGCGAGTTCTCTCACCTTCCTGCACTTCTGGCTGTACCCAGTGCTTGTATAAATAAATAAATCTTAAAAAAAAAAAAAAGTATTGATACTTATAGACACTTAAAAAATGTATTCTGTTGTTGGGTGGCATGTTCTGTATGTCTATTATATCTTGTTAGTTTTTTGTGTTTTTTTAAGTTCTCTATTTCCTTACTTCTATCTGAAGTTCTCTCCATTTTTTCCAATAGGGTATGAAGTCCGCAACTATTACTATAGAACTATATTTCTCCCTTCAGTCTTGTCAGTTTTTGTTTCAGATATTTTTCTACCTGTTACTAGGTACATAAATGTTTATAATTGTATCTTTTTGCTGCATTTAGCTGTATTAATATATAACGTCTTTATTTGTCATTGTCATCTTATATTTAAACTCTGTTTTATCTGTTACTAAAACTACCACTTCTCTCTATTATTTGTATGGAATATCTTTTTCTGTTCTTTGCCTTTAAATCTGTTTGCCTCTTTGACTATACAATTTCCTATAGACAGTATATAGTTGGATCATGTATTTCTATCCATTTTGTCATTCTCTGTCTTTTGAGTGGGAAGCTTAACAGATTTACATTTAAAGTGATTACTGATTAGGAGGTACTTCTGTGATTTTTCTTAATTCAGGAAAGAGAATTAAGATTGGTAATCCCCTGGGGCTATTAGGACTTTCTCTCCAGTTGCATAGATTCTCAAACTATGGGATATTACTAGTTATAAAGAAAATAAAATTACTGCTAGACCTGCACTGTTCAATAAAGTGACCACTAGCCATATACAGCCATTAAGCACTTGAATGTGACTGGTCAAAACTGACACATACAGTATAAATAAATATATAAACTAGATTTCAATGACTTAGTATAAATAAGAACATAAAATATCCCAGGAGCAACATTTTTATATTGATTATATACTGAAATGATAGTTTGGTTCCGCTGGGTTAAAGTATTTAAACTTCACATTTCTATATTTTGATGTGACTACTAGAAAAATTAAAATGGCATAGGTAGTTCACATTTCTTTTAGACACTGCTGCTCTAGACTGATTTTATAAATATATTGCATAAGATGGAACTCTAGAGCTACGGTGTACATACTTTGTACAAAATTTTATTCTTGTGGCTCCCCGGTGGCGCAGCGGTTGAGCTCTGGGCTGTGTAGCTGCCCACAGCCTCTGCGACATGGTGCGCAGACCTCTCCTGCCGTGCGCACTGCTCCCCTCAGCAGTGTCCTCTGTCTGTCTGCCTGTTCTGCTCCCCACTCTGGCTCTGGTGAATTCTCTCACCCTCCCGCGCTTCTGACTGTACCCAGTGCTTGTATAAATAAATAAATAAAAATCTTAAAAAAAAAAATCTTACTCTCACCCCTGATTTTGAAATTGAAGTCATGAAATACAGATTGAACAAAGGAGCCCTTTGAAAGTCCTTAGTTATCAGTCCACTCATCCTGCAATCTTTTTAATACCTGCTATTGTCAAGTATTAAATACCACCAGGAAAAAACTCTCCAGCTGAGAAAACAAAGTTTTATTGTTTCAAGCCACTTAAGTTTTGGAGTTATTATACACTAATGGGATAACTGAAACAAGTATTTTGAAAATAATTGTTGACTGAACAAATGAATGAATTATAGGGAAAAAAATTCCCACCAGGAAGGAGAGAATGGAGAGGAATGCAGTGGTAACTTGATGTAACCTTCCTTCCCTAAACAATGGCAAGATTTTTTAAATTTTCTTAAAAGCCCTAATAGTAAGGCACCCTTACCAAGTGCATAAGCCTTTAGAGCAGGAACCAGTTCTCTTTATTTGTATTTTTGCATACGGTTGATGCCTTGTAAATGCAGATGGATTTGAACCTCAGCTTTGTTTGCTGAGCAGCTTCTGTGGCATCATGATACTTAGTCCTTCATGATGGAGACATTGCTCCTGCTCTATAGTGATTCATTCTGATAGACTCTTAGAGCAAAATCAGCTAAGATAACGATAGATATAGTTTCAATTCTCCTGTCAACTGTTAAAGGAAAAATTATCCAAAGGTATCTCAAGAAAGTAGAACCTTCAAATGGAAAAGTTTCCCAACACTCCCACATAGGCCTGAACCTGTAGCTCTAGTGAGTGTATTTTCAATTGTTCCCCTGACGGGCTCATTACAGAACTAAATAAAGAGCTCACAGGAAATAGAACATCACACTTCACTAATATTAAGAAGGTAGGCTCAGGGGAGCTTGTCTTTTTGTAAAGTGGATAATAGAAGCAACTATCATTGGGTCACAGTCGTAAACAGTATGTAAAACTCTTACTAAGAGGTTTAACCTAGTAGTTTTTATTTGAACTATTACAAAAACTGCCTTTGGTTTCCCTTTAGGGGCAAGCTATGTGTGATTGATTGGAAGACATCGGAGAAACCAAAACCACACATCCGAAATACTTTTGACAATCCATTGCAAGTTGTGGCATACATTGGTGCCATAAATCATGATGCCAACTATAGCTTTCAGGTAAGGACACTGAGACTCAATTAAAACTTTTTGTGTAGGCAATTGAGGATGACTTTATTTTTTAATTATTTCTTTAGCATAGAAGAACTGGGGTGTAGGCCAGAGGTTCACGGGGTGAGAGGATTCACCAGAGACAGAGTAGGGAGTACAACAGGCAGGTTTACCGAAATACACTGCTAAGGGGAGCAATGGGCGAGACAGGAGAGGTCTGCTGCAACATATGTGGGTTAGCTCCCTGGCCGGGAATCAAACTCAGGCCGTAGCGGTGACAGCACTAACACTTAACCCCTGGGCCACAGGGAGGCCCCTACTTACTTAAAGCTTTGCTAGATGCTTATTTAGAGCTACTTAACTCCTTATGGTTTGGATTATTTGTCTCCACTGCTTACTCTGTTCCTTGGTCTTCTACCATGTTAAAAAACACTATTCCTCTCCCTTGGCCTTTTTTGGGTTGTTAATAGTTCTTTAATGATCACAATCCATTCTTCAATGCCTTATCTGTCTTCTTTGTGTTATATGTATGCTGGTACACTCTTTTATCAACCCATCTTAGAAACTCAGGAGATATTAGAGTTGATTGTTCTTGGTTTGCCCTAGGGTAAGAAGGAAATGAACCTAAACTCTGGTTCTACTGCAGAAATACTAGAGTTTGCCTGTGTTTCTTCCTAGGTTCAGTGTGGCTTAATTGTAGTGGCCTATAAAGATGGATCCCCTGCCCACCCACATTTCATGGATGCAGAGCTCTGTTCCCAGTACTGGGCAAAGTGGCTTCGTCGACTAGAGGAATATACAAAGAAGGAAAAGAACAAGAATATTCAAAACCCAGATTAGGACTCTGGTTACTGTCTGGGAACATTCAGTACTTTCTCGGTTTGAGAGAATAGTTCATTTGCTTAGTTTATTAAAACTGAAGATGTCACAAGATCTGACATTTTCTGTTAACACAAATGGGAGTATTATTTTTTTCTTAATTTACTGCAACAAAAAAGCCAGAAAAAGTTTATTTTTAAAGAGCTACCCTTCAGCACATGGAAGATAACTATACTACCTCGGATTGTCATTTACCTGAAAAGGGTACAAACAGGATTGGCATGACATTGGTGGTTCTTGGACTCCTCCATAGACCTTTCTGTGTCCTGGGCAGGTTGCCCAGCCTTTGAAATCAGATTGGAGGCAGTGAGGCTTGGTGTGCCAGGCATTCCTCCAGGGTACATCCAGAGATAAGGAGCCAAGATCAAGCCCCCACCCCAGTGAATATGTGGAGGAATTACTCAAATCAACCCACTACGCCTGTTAATGCAGTTTCTTAAAGCCGGTTTTATATGTTGGGATTCTCTCTATATATATTTTATTTGGGGTAATTAGCAGTACCCTTTGGCATAACACCAAATAGTCCCCAGAAATAGCCAAACCTTAGTGTGAGAATTGTAATTGTAACTATATTCTGATTTGAGTCAATGAATCATATACACAGAAAAAAAAAGTGTCATTTGTAGAATTTTTCAACTATGGGGAACAATAATAAAACGGAATGGCTTTTTGTGTTCAATAAATAATAAAAGTTGTCACTAGGTCTAGGAAATATAAATACCCATTATAGCCCTGGGGAAGATGTTGCTGTTTTCTAGAGTGGGTTTACATTTAAGTCATAGTTTTTCTTAAAATAGTAGGGTGTTAACAATCACTTTTTTTTTCACTAGCCATTAAATAAAATACAAGATGTGAGTAATAAGGCTTTTGTTTTTGTTGCTTTGTAATTAAATTTGTGTGTTCACAGAAACATTAATTCCAAAGGGCACCTGCACCCCTATGTTTATAGCAGCACTATTTACAATAGCTAAGCTATGGAAACAACCCAAATGCCCAAAAATAGATGACCGGAACAAGAAGATGTGGTATATATGCACAATGGAATATTACTCAGCAATCAAAAAAGATAAACACATGCAGTTTGCAGCAACATGGATGGAGCTAGAAGGGATCATGGTCAGCGAAATAAGTCAGAAAGAAAAAGAAAAATATTGCATGGTCTCACTCATAGCAGGAATTTAGAAAACCTAAATAAGGGACCAGGAAAAAGACTAATTACAAAGTAAAAATCAAAATCAACAAGGAACTAAACCGGAGACACACTATGGGGGTAGGAGGGATGGCAGGGAGAGGAAGGGTTAGGGTCAAAAAATGAGAGGGAGTGCAATTGTATGGGGAATATAACCGAAATGAAAATGCATACATTGTGCAAAAATGAAAAATATGTAAAAATTATATTAAATTATTTTAAAAAATTTGTGTTCCTAGGATAATTTCATAAACCCGGGAATTATTTAGATTTTGTTTAAATTCAGAATTGTTCTTCGGGCCCAGTAGCTTTGGTACGTGTTTCATGTAAATGCGTGCAAGAAGGAGGTGTCTTCAGTAACCACCTGGCGAAGAATATAGGGGAGGAGAGGTTTGAGTGAGACCTTTAATTGACTTGGTAAACTTCTGCATTTTTTTTCAAGAAGCACATATTCCTATAACCTGTAGTTTCCAAAGTCAAACATCAAGTGAGGGAATAAAGTTTGCCACACTGTGCTAACAAGGCTCATCCTAGAGTTTAGGAGACTAGCCTCAGCAAGACTTCATACTATACAGTTGCCTTGTGTGAGTAAAATTGCACCTTGGACTTACCTCTTTGTACCAAGAGTCTCCCAAGCTAACAGTGGTGTGAAGAGTTCATGAAAGACCCTCATATTCTGACTAAGGAAGACTTGGTTGGTATGAGAAAAGTAATGTTAAATCAACAAATAAGAGGGTATCCCACTCCTTGGTCTCAACTAAGGGGTGTAAGCCAAGAGTCAGGCCAAGCTGGCTGTATCCACAAGAAGGCTGCCTGAAAACTACTGCCTCTGACAAATCAGTAACTTCAAAAAGACAAACTTCAAGGTTTATGAAATCCCTAAAATTCCTAGAAGATAAGTCTCTAATAGGCAGGGTAAAGTTTAACAACCGTCTTTGTTTTCCTCAATCTAGATAATATCAGATACATTAACCAGACCCCTACCCACGTTTTGTTTCCCTCTACAGAAATACTTGAAGTGATTGTATATGAACCTCACTGAGAAGCTCAGAATTTGGGCAGCTTTCCCAGAGCTGTCTGGAGGCTTGTTTCTGGGCTGAGTCCTCACTTGATTCTTTAATAAATTTTCTTAATTTTGCTTGCTTCAATTTATTTAAGCCAGCAGATGGCACCCCAGATGGGACCTAGGAACTTAGCCTGAGCCCACCTGGAGCATCAAGCAGACCTGATGCCAGGGTACCAGCAAGGGCCCTTTGAGTGCATCTAGCTCCTTGGTGCTCCAGACGTGGTGACTGGTAAGTTCTCCTAGGTCTTGGACCTCCCTCTTGATTGACAAGACAAAAACTTGAGTTTTTAAAGGATTGAATTTCTTCAGAAGTGGACAGAAAATCTCGTAAGCGAGAGCAGAGTAGGGAATTCCAATCTCATGTAGAAATCTGACCTCATTGGCAAAGGCTAAAGGCAAGGAAAGATTGTTGTTTGGCGGTTGTTAACAGGATTTTCTGTCAGAATTGGCAAAGGCAAAAAGGTGTGCTCAGAATTTAAATGACCGACCTGTGAGAGCAGCTTTGTCTCCAGAGAGAAAGAACAAGTGCTCCCTCTGGCCGACATTTTGGTTATTTCTTCTTCATGACTAAAAACCTAGGAGAGGTGCCTGAGACTAATCCTGTAGCATGCATTGGTCTAAAGGGAAAGCATTTTCACATCTTTTTTTTTTTTTTTTGAAAGATTTATTTATGCATACAAGAACTGGGGTACAGGCCAGAGGTGTGGAGGGGTGAGAGGATTCACCAGAGACAGAGTGGGGAACAGAACAGGCAGATTGACTGAAATACACTGCTGAGGGGAGCAGCGGGCAAGTCAGGAGAGGTCTGCTGTGCCATATGGGTAGCTCCCTGGCCGGGGAAGGAACTCATGCTGCAGAGGCTGCGGATAGCTTCACAGTGCTGTACTTAACCCGTTGCACCACCAGAGAGGCCCCATTTTCACATCTTTGTACTCATCCAAGGTGTGACATAAGGACTGATCCTCTGCATTCTGAACCCCTACATTTGCTTAAGTAGTTGTTAGGTAAATCAGACACATAAGCCAAAATGGCCCTTGGGTTAACTACACCAAGTGAAGCTAGGCCATAATTGCAGCACTTGAATCCTAAGCAAAGGGAAAGTAAATTCAGCAAACCCAAGTTTAAGGCAAACAAGTCGTCAGAACAAGAGTACTCGGTGACACAGCCAGCACCATCCCTGCAGTGTCCATGTGCAGTGCTTATGGAAAAAGTACTTGCAAGTGATTCTCTGGGAGGAATTAACTAAGGAAGATAATTCCTTAGAATTGGTGAGTTAGGAAACATGTACATATCCAACCTTGTATATTTTTATACATGGTTAAAGAAAGCCAGCTCAAAGGTTAAACACAGAAGAGGCTATTTTCAATCAGAATTTGAAGGCCTCCAAGTGGTTAAATACATTAAAACTTGCTGCCGTATAGGAATGTGATTGGACTTTCTAAGACTGACTATAATCTTACAGACTACCTAAGCTGGCAAACTCCCTCTTTTTTAAACAATGATAAGTTGTCTCCTTTCATTTTTTATGTTCCTTGAACTAAAACTAAATTATGGACTATTAGGAAGGAATTTCTTGATGCCTTCAAAGGATCCTTAGATTTTGCCTCCCACCTCCCCCCAAAATAAAAGTTGTCCTCCAAAAATAGAAGGGCTTAGGGCCTCCCTGGTGGCGCAAGGGGTTAAGCACTGCACTATCAAGCAATCCATGGCTTCTGCAGCACGAGTTCAATCCCCGGCTGGCCAGGGAGAAACCCACATGGCGCAGCAGACTTCTCCTATCTCACCTGCTGCTCCCCTCAGCAGTGTATTTCAGTCAGTCTGCCTGTTCTGTTCCCCACTCTGTCTCTGGTGAGTCCTCTCACTCCCCCCATCTCCGGCTTGTACCCCAGTTCCTGTATGCATAAATAATCTTTAAAAAGAAAAAAAACAAAAACAGAGGGGCTTAAAAATTATTCCTCACAAGGGGGCACCTATACCATTATCCAAATAGGATGTTATATGTTAGTAATTGACAAATTTGATTATATATCTTTGTTAAATTACATGAGGACATAAATAAACACCTGAGTGGTGTCTTAACCTAGAGGAATTAAAACGTCAATGGCAAATAGATGTGCTCAGAATTTAAGTGCATCCATCATGGAACTCTAAATAAAATAAAAATTGTCACTGAATTTTAGAACTCATTGTCTTAATTCTTGCATGTGCCTATATTGTTGTGACATCTGCCTCCAGTACAACTGGATAACTGCCAAATGAGTCACCCCCACACTGGGAAAATCCCTGCTGAGCTCTTAGGGCACATTACAGAAGAGAGGGTAATATAAGATTTTAAGAACCAGTCAGGGACATGATGTTGGGGAAGGCAATCAGTGTTACTGCCAGTTTGATCTACAAGCTAAACTCATACAATCTGAAGCTTTTCGTCCCCCTCCAAAATGTATGTTCTCAGAAGTTGCTTCAAGGATACAATCTTGAACAAAATATATCAATATATGATATATTTTTTTGACTATCTGAACTGCATAAATGACTGAATATAGCAAAGCCTCTCTAGAACTTTGATGATGTGGTGAGGAATAACGTGAAGAAAAAAAAAAGTGCTCATCTTGCAGCCACCCAAAATAAAATTTCTCTGTTAGGGAAGGGAGATGAATGGCTTCCCTAATGGGCTATCCTCTACTGTGGGCAATCGCCCAATTGGAGGCTAAAGGTTGAGTTAAAAGGTTAAAAGAACTCTTTCCTAAAGAAGATATTCAGATGACCTACAGATAAATGAAAAAAAAATAGTTGCATGGAGAAGTGATTTTCAGGCTTTTCAGGCTTTTCTACCTTCCTGCCATTAGGAGTGCCCTGCCTAATGGGGACCTGCATTTTGTTACATTGTTATAGCTGTATTATTTACTTCTGTGGGCCATGACAGCAGTATTGAGATATTTGCCAAGGGAAGTAGAGGCCAGAGAGAGGCAGGAGAAAAAGAACAGGAGAGAGAAGGGGAGAAAGGATGCTAGAGAACCCAGAGTTAAGACTTATGCAGGGTCTTGAGGCCTGGCGCCTCCTGGCCCCCGACACCCCTGGGCCTGCTGTGTACCTGGTTGCCACACTATATGTAAAAGCTCAATAAAAACCTGAAAAAGCCAACGAGGGCTCCAGGACACCACTTTACCCGCCGGTCTGCTAGAGTCAGAGAACCTGCTCGGTGTCCCTGTCCTGCCACTACAATAGTCAACATCACTTATAAGAGAAAATCAAATTAAAACCACATTGAGACACCACCTTATGCCTGTGAGAGCAGCTCATATAGAAAAGAATGGAATTAACAAATGTTGGCAAGATTGTGGGGAAAGGGAACTCTCATCCACTGTCGTTGGGAATGAAAATGATATGGAGATTTCTCAATAAAATAAAAACGGAAATTCCCTATGACCCAACAAAACCTCTACTAGGTATTTGTCCAAATAATACGAAAACTTTAATATGAAAAGGTTTATCTATACCTGTGCACATAGCATTGTTCATAATCATCAGATCATGGAACCAACCTAAGTGCCCTTCAACAGATGAATGGATAAATTATGGAAAATGTATTAAATGGAGTATTACACAACTGAAAAAAATGAAATGGTGGCATTTAGGACAAAATGAATGGACTTCAAGATGATTGATTAGCAAAATCAGACAAAAAGACATATAGCATGATGTCATTCATCTGTGAAATAAATACTGAAAAAAATTATATGCGAAGAATAGAAGGAATATAACTTGAACTAGGCAAAAAGAAGATAGTGGTTATCAGAGGGAATGGGGAAAGGGTAGAGCAAATGGGAGAGGGAGGAAGATGGGTGTTTGGTGGAGGGGGAAAAAAGAAGAGGGGAAAAAAGTAAAGAAAGAAATAAAATTTTATCAAACGAAAATCAAGGGAATTTGTTGATACTAGACCTGCCTTGAAAGAAATGTCAAAACAATTCTTCAGAGAAAAACAATGTTATAGGTCAGAATGTAGATACAACCTTGAACAAAATATATCAATATATATGTTTTTCTTTTTTTTTTTTTAATAGAGGCATGCTTTTATTTATTTATTTGTTTGTTT